CCCACCCCAGATATACTACTAAGCACAGGGCAGCACCTACTGTGAGGAACAATCCTGGGAGAAGGGGAGCATCACTCCACTTGTCCCCCACTCCCCTCATCCCCCAGATGCAGTGCTATGTTGCCCATCTCCTATAGCCAGATGTCTGCCCCTACCGTGGTAAGGACTTCCGGTGCCCCATCATAGTTCACACCTGAGGCTGGTACCACCCCCCACCCTTGTGCTACCGCTCGCCCAAGGGCACACAGCACGTCTGTGGCAGAACTGGGCCTCCTGAGTCCCAGCCCAACACGTTAAGGGCTTGCCTGCGCATGGAGTTAGCCCAGAACAGCTATTCGTCCTGACAGTCACCCCAGGCCAGAATATCCTTCATGTTCCGGCAAGCCCTGCTAAGACGCACGCCGCGGTCCCCATTTGAGGTTACCCGCAGTCCAAGGACAGGCAAAGAAAGAAAGCCTGGGAGGTGGAGAGCAAAGCCAGAGCGCGGAGCTGTCAAAAGAAATTTAAATCCGGCCGAATCGTACAGCTCAATAGAAGCCCAGCTCTTATAGAGATGGTTTATGTTTAACTAGACAATATATGAGCCCTATTCCCTTAACTAATTTTCCCGGTGCCTTAACAGACAAAGCATTAATCGTCTCCTGCCATTATTTATTTATTTTCCTGGCCACACTCTGACAGGGCACCTTATTTTCTTTGTCAAATGCCATTAGCGCTCAGCCTGGCCATACAGGCCACAGAAGACAGATGCTGGTAATAATCATGAAATTCTCATTATTTACCCTCACTTCTATCGTGTTTAAGTTATTTATGTCCCTTGGGCATGGCCAGAGACTGTGGGTTATTCTGATAGTCAATCATAAAAATGCAATTGTTGTTACTTAATAGTCTCTCTGTCTCTCTCTCTTTCCCCGCTTGCCCTCCGCTGCCCCCCAGCTGTGCTCCACCTCACCCCGCATGGTCTGACTGGTTGGCCGGGATGAGTGGAATAACTTAGTACATGAAGGGAAGGTAGCACTGGCAGGAGGCAGGCGCCGTGAGAGGTTCCCCCATGGCTCTGAGCTATACCAATGCACCTCTCCCTATCTCATCACCCTCCTAGTACAGTCCTGAGCTCTCAGCTCTGTTGGTGCCTTTCACCCCAACACACAGCCCCTTCAAAGAGGGGGCTCATTTGAACTATGCCCTCCCGGGCACTTGGTCGAGACCAACAACCTGATTTTCCTTCCAAGAAGGAAACCTCCTGCTCTTCCCATGAGTGACCCACTTCACTCTCTGCAGTGTCCTTCTCTTTAAAGGGGGGTGGAAGCTCAGGAGTGGCCTGTTAGCCTTGGATGGTCTTTCCTTAGCAGCTGTCCTTACAACCACTACTCACCTGTGATATCCTTGCCAGACTCAGCTTGCTTCTGTAGGCTGAAAGAGGAGTTCAGCCTCCCTAGTCCATACACCACTTTCCTTTCATCCCAGAGCAGAACAAAGTGTTGAAACTTCCTGCAGACCAAAAACTTCCAGTACATTTCAGTTTGATGATACCGGAATGATTTTACAGTCAAAGCGCTTCATTTCAATGGCATTCTTCCAGCTACTTTTTATTCTACCATAGAAAAGTCAAAAGGAAGCTTTTTGATTGTTTTCTGTTGAAAATTAGGCTGAAAGCACATTTCTGTCATGTTTTAGTGTTGTCAAATCAAGTTTATCAAGCAGTCACTGTTGCTGGAAAATGTGTGACCAGCTTTAGAGGTCCTGGGGCACTAAGGACTATAGACCTGGGTTGGTGTTGAACTAAGGCTCCATGGCCATTGTCTAACCTTTATCCACATTGCTCCTTGTTTATTTAACATACCACCCTTTTTATATTGCCCTCCCTGGGCACAGAAACAAGGAAGCAAGGAGGTTTAGGTCTGAGGCATCTTTGACTTCACCTTCACCAGAGAGAGTTCGCTGTAGACCCACAGGCTTGTCTGCAGTTAAGTGTCTCTGAAATGTCTCCCTATGCAGTGAGACAAGCAGTGGGAAAGTCACTCTTTGATCTCGTTTTGTGAAGACTTATTTGTAGCTGTCCAGGCTGAGATCAAGCAGTAAAATATCTTGCTTCAGGACAGATGATCCTCATGGTGTATGCATGCGTGTGTATGGAGTAATAGCAATTCACCCCAAGTAGAGCTGCACCAAAATCTTCCAACTAAACATTTTTCCTATGGAAAATGGCATTTCAGTGTCCTGAAATCTTGGGGTTGGGGGCAGCAGTGGTATGCTAATTTTGACCAGATTTGTTTAGAAAATATTATCCAACGAAAGTGATGTTGTAGCTGTGATGATTCAGGAAATAGGCAAGAGGCAAGGGGTTTTTTGTGTGATATCTTTTAGTGAACCAACTGCATGGTTGGGATAGACCTAGACAAGCTTTCAAGTGCAATAACACTTTGCATTTGAAAGCTTGTCTAAGTCTATCCCAACTGTGTAGTTGGTCCGATAAAAGATATCACCCACAAAAATCCTTGCCTCTCATCAAAAGGAAGTCGTTCTGGAAGAGTCAAAGCAGAATGTTTTCTCATTTTCAGAACATCATGTTTCAGTCTTTTAGTTCAAAATGTATTGTGCTTTGTATCATTAACACTAATTGTTTAAGAAGCTTGAAAGTGATTCCAAACCTTGTGATTGACCCTGTGTGAAATGTTTTGAAAATTTCACTTTGTGGTAGATTTTTGACATTTTGGTCCAATTCCAAATGAAAACAAGATTTAAAAGATCAGAATTTCTTTTGAGATGGGAAAGGCATAGTCCTGACTCC